GAGAGAGAGAGAGAGAGAAGAGAAGAGAGAGAGAGAGAGGAGAGAGAGAGAGAGAGAGAGAGAGAGAGAGAGAGGTAAGAGAGAGAGAACGAAATAGATATATAGAGAGAGGAGAGAGAGAGAGAGAGAGAGAGAGAGAGAGAAGAGAAGAAGAGAGAGAGAGAGAGAGAGAGAGAGAGAGAGAGAGAGAGAGAATGAGAAAAAGGTAAGAGAGAGAGAACGAAATAGATACATAGAGAGAGGAGAGAGAGAGAAAAAAAAAACAGAGAAAGAGAAAGATCGATATAGAAGGAGAAAGAAACAGAGACATAGGAGAGAACGGAAGAGATAAAGAAACAGAGAAGGAAGAGAGGGAAAGAGAGCGACAGAGACAAGCGACGGAAGAGAGAGAGCGAGGAAACAATTAACGACAATGGGTTTTTCAATGGCGCCAGCTGCCAATTCTTCCCCTTTAATTCCCAACAGCAATCGACTATGGGCCGTGTTTGGAATTCAAAAATACAACAAAATAAACTTGGGGAAATGATGAGAGAAATATCCCGTAATGGATTCCAAATGGAGTCCATAACAGCGAGCATAACTGTTCCAAACCTCATCAGATTTTTTTCATATGTAGACCTATGTATACGCGGATCTGACTCTGGTGTGGAATGAATGCAGTAGCAGACAGGTATTAGAGAATAAATGTAGAGAGAGACAGAGAGAGGGTGAAAGAGAGGACACACACACATACACATATACAGGGTGTCCTCGATTTACGACGGAGATCCGTTCCTACGATGGCGTCGTAACCCGAATTTTGACGTAAGTCGGAACACACCTGAATACAGTACATGTACGTAAGCACATAAGTCACTCGAATATGCTAATACAGTATGTATACATGTATTGAAGTCACAATCTAAAACATAACAAGACACTTCTATGACGTACAAGAAAACATAACTAGGGCTAAAGGAACACATGGAAGACAAACTAAATTCTACACATGAAAACGTAACTAAGACAAACTAAATTATGTACATGATTTCTAGCGTCGTAGCCACGAAGCGTCGTAACTCAAGACCGTCGTAACTCGAGACCGTCGTAAACCGAGGACCCCCTGTATATGTATATTCTTGTGTATATATGTGGCAGATACAATGCTGATTGGTTCTTCTTTATATAGCTTTTCTTGTGCTCACCTTTTTTGCTATTTTTTTGTGTTTGTTTCTTTCTTTTTCCTGTTTATCGCGTCAATTACTATTCATTTGTTTGCGATGATGTTAGTTTATCATCAGTAACAGGATTTTCACTTTTTCGCTTAAGAGGTACTTCTAATACGCAGTTCCTTTAGCGTTCCTACATTGTACCAAACCTATTTATCTTAATTCCAAACTCCTTTGTTTAATGATATGAAGAGTAAATCCACTTATATTATCCACCGACCTTACAGAATTTGCAAATAGAAAGTAATATACCCCAGGAGACATTTTCGAATACAAAGTAAGTCCCCTAATCGCAAATAAACTTACATAAAGTAGATTATATGCTTTTGTTTCATTCTTACATTAGACCCTGTCAGCACCAGATGTCTTCAAAATGTCTTATTTATTTATTTATTTATTTACATCACAGACAAACAACTTCAATGGTATTATACTGTATTTGTAATGAGTTTAATGATGTTTAATTGCAATATCGATGCTTTGGATAACTAACAGATTCTTTGTGATTTTTACATGATGCACATATGATTAAGAAACAGTCCTAGCTATATCCGAGATAAAGATATTAGTATGAAAAGGCAAGAAAAATGATAACAATAATAATGTAAATGCGATTATACTGTTTGTGATGATTACATTACATTACATTATGCAGTAATGATAGTATGCACTTATATTTGGTAGTAGTGGTAGTGTGTAATACTACCATTATCATTAATATTATTATTGCAAGTATTGGAGGGCCTGCTACAGCTCGTGTTACTTCCGGTTACTGTTATTACTCTATTATCATAATTATTTATATGATTTTGGCATTATAAAATATGCTATTTTACCATGAATATATATAATGGTAAGTGCAATAATCGTCATAGCAGTTACACTATAAAACAATATAATAAAACTGCTTATAAAGATTAGATGTAATCACATTTTCAATAATAATGATAACATTTAGAAAATTAAAAAAGCTGGTTGAGACAACATGTAATTATGCACCAGTTTGTACATTACGGACTGTATATCAAGATTTCTTCGAAAGTAAAGCGATGTTTTATTTCACAATTCAAAGAAAAGGCTTTTGCGTTGATCGAAATTAATATTCACACCCCATTTCTTGCCTCGTAATGGTCTATTTATGCTCTAATATTCAAAAGACACGTTAATGAGAAGTACGACATGCCATAGTATTATATGAGATGATTCTATGAAAAGCTCTTGTTTACCAGTGGAACTACTATCGAAGGCAGAAAATCGAAGTTTCTGATTGTGCTGGGGATTATATCAGATGA